TTTTTTAAATGTCTGCTGCTCTGGTTTTTCTGGCCTTTTTCATCTGTCTTGAGGGAAGATTGATTATCACCTTTTGTCACTGGCGATAGCTCTGCCACGTTTCCCCTCTTCTCCCTGCCTGTTGCCAGCCCGAGAAAGCCCTTGTCTGCCTGGTTACTCCTGGGACAGGAGCTGCTGTGTGCTGCCACCTGTTCTTTGTTTTCCTCACCTCCTCTAGTTCTGGTGTGTGCTTTCGAAGGTCAGGTTGCCTGACAAGGCACAGGAGACACACGTGTATCATCCTGACTTAGTTTTTTGCCCAAAAAGGGCAAATAATGTTTAATTGAATCTTCCTAGGGATAGGGCTAAGTTAGTGACCAAGCTGCTTGAGCAACAGCAGCCCATTTCACACTGGTTTCCAACATCTTTTCACACTTGAATCTTTTGATTTCTTTTTTTTTTTTTAATTACTGTACACCTTGTATTATGAGAGACTTTATGATTTCATGTAGCACAGTTAGAGCTGTTGCTTTGTCAGACTGGTAACCGATCTCCCTTTTTCTGGTATTTACAAATATATTGAACTAAAATGCCTGAGACCAAGTTGTAGGTACCTGTGTTCCCTGTGAACCTCTTCTAGGGAGGTTGTAGCAACCATGTAAGATCCTTCAAAAGGCACGAGAGTTTTGGGAAAGTAAAATACTTCGTCCGTAACATTTTTATTGAGCTGGTCAGGGACTCCTATCTGTTGTGGAACAAGTAAACCTTCCCAAGTCTTGTTTTTCTTGATGTTATTTGTCTCTGTTGAATTCTATTTTTGAAGCGATTTTAATTTCTTATTGACAGTTCTCTAGACATGTGCCAGGAGATGCTTCAGTTTAGAGCTTTGAGCATTAACATTTGTGCAAGGACCCTGATGGCTTCTCGAGGTGGTGGCACCCAAGGTTCTGCGACAGATACTTGGCTCTTTCCTCTGTGAAGGGTGCAGCGCAGTGTTTCAGAACGTCCTCTCCCAGGGCATCCTATTTCCCCTCACCGTTTGATGGTGAATGCAGTCCTGGTTTGGATACTGAGACTGGAAGTTCAGTGTTATGCTCTTGTGGCAGGGGCTGCTTATTTTCCTTCTGAGTCTGTCACTTTTGATATATAGCATCTCGTCGCTGGAGCTGTTCTCTAAGCTATAATACGGTTTGTTTTCTCCTTAGCTTGTTTCTACACGATTTCAAGTGGTTATGTCAGTGGTTCATTTAATGTTGACTAATTGAGTCTTGCTTTTTGATCCCTTAGCACTCAAATATTCTGGTTCTGCTGAAATAAAACCCTGCGATGAGGGCTGGGTTGTGCCCCCAGCAGGTTGCTGGCCTGGCTTTGGGGAGGTCATGTTCTGCCTACAGTGGGGTGCATCCTTTACGTTGGAACTGGGAGATTTTTTCAGCACCTTGAGCCTCTGTTCTGCGTTTAATTAAAACTCTTTCCACAGAAGCTTCCTTGAAACTTCCCTGTCACTTGAGTTTTCGGTGAGGAGTGCCAGTCAATAGAGAAATTACAGAGTGAGGAACAGCAGCTGTGCTGCGCTTGCTGAACAGAAGATGTCAATGCCAGTTTTTATACTGCTTCTCTGTGGCAGTATGGGGCCTGCTGTTTGTACCCTAGGTGTGAAGTGGCCAAAAGGATGTTTTAACTTCTCCCAGATACGGTTCATCTTCTCGTGTCACTTCAGGACTGGCATTCCCTTTGTCTTGGCAGGGAGGCGTTACCTGCCAGCCTGCGGAACACGCACCCTGTGCTCCAGAGTCTGCTTGGTCTGATTCATGGAATCAGGTTGTCCCAGGCTGCAGCTTCTCTCGGCGGGGCTGCCTGCAGCCTGGGTGCGTCCTTCTCCCGGATACCGAGTGCCCGGCGTACCTCAGTTCCCGTGCGCGGTGCAGAGTCTGCTGTTGGAGTGCTGGTGTTTGGTCCCCAACCTCAGCTCTTCCCGTTTGTTCCCTGGCTCAGCTTTGTCTCTGAGGCCGTGCAAACAGGTGGCGGCTTTGCCATGGAACAGGGGCCTGTGACTTGAAGTTTAAGGCATCGGGAAATGTGAGGAATGAGGTGGGAGAGCTCAAGCAACCGCCTGGAGTGGTTTGTGCCAGACTTTGTGCTCCAGTGACAGAGCTGTGGTTTCCTGTCTTAATTGCGGTAGTTCTTTAAGTACTTTATTGCCCATTTAAGACTCTGCTTTTAGACTAATGCTTAACATTATGTTTTTATCTTTGATTTTTTTTTTTTAAAGTTCAGGAAAGAACTCCCTGTTCCTCCTTGTTTGCTCTAGGTTTGGAAGCAAAGACTTTCTCTTCGATACACAAGTCCGTTGTCAGTGACCCAACTTGGCAATTGTTCCTTCTTCCTGGAGAGAGATGCTCTTTATTGTGCCCACGGTTTAAGCCTAATACTTGTTTGACTTTAAAGCTTGAAAAAAGCCTTTCTCTTCCTATCTTCAGACCTTCCTAGTAACCCTGCCTACATCCTGACCCAGATAAACCCAGTTCAAAGCCTGAATACAAGAAGCCCTTGAGATAGGGGGAATTTCCAAGGAAATACTCTTGTACTGGAAAACAGTTTTGTCCACACAATCTGAATTTTTTGAGAGGTTTAACCAGACTCCTGTTAATAGTGAGCAGATTGAAATGTGGCTGGTAGTACTCTTAGTGAAAAGTTTTCTGAAAATGGTTAGTAAATATACAAAGGTTTCGGCTAATAACAGAAATACCTGTTAGGACAGTTGAGTTTTGTCAGGACAGTTTAATTTTGTCAGTGATACTCTTGAACTCTCTGAATATTTACATGTTGTGTGCTCTGTATGTCAGCTGCCTTTAAAATTTTTGGAAGTGTAGCTCCTCATTTGTAATAAAAATAAGGGCTAAGGATAGAGACTTTAGAGAAGCGTGTAAATTAAAAACAGTGAGTGTCAAGAGAAGCAGTTGGAAGAAAACCAATATCAGGGCCTGTGCTGCTCGGTACCGCTCCAGGTGTTGTTAACAAGTGGCAGGTGCAGTTGTGATCTCCCCTGGGAGCGGATGGTGGGATTTCAGGTGCTCCCTGCAGCTCCGTGCCTGTCGTTTGATAGTGCTGTTTAAGCTTCCCCCCACTGCTGTCGAGGTAAAACTGCACGGCCTTTGCTTTCTTCCTGCCCCCCAAAAAAACTTTACCAGAAGCTTCTTCAGAGATTTGTGTGATAATTCCCAGCACTTCAGTTTCCTTGTTCCATGTTCTGTCTCTAAGCAATCCCTGAAATAGAGACATAAAATGCCGGCAAAGCCAGGGCAGGTTTTCAAGAGCACTTGGAGGGTGTGAAGCATCTGTACGTGTTACTTGCATGTCAGTCAGCGCTGTTTTAAAGTATTCCTGTGTTCTTGGGATGCCTTGGGGGGTTTATAGGTGGAACTTAGTGATTCTTCCCACCAGATTGTGAATTCTAACCTGTTACATGAAAAGTCTTGGTAGTGTCATGTGCTCTTATCAAAATATTCCGTAGGCCACAAGTATTCACTCGTTGTTCTGAACATAGTGGACAAGTTTTCCGGTGTTCTGCTTTGGATTTTTGAAGTACAGCTGTCTTTATGTCTGCAATAATTTGTGTTCTTCTTGCAGGAAAACAAAAAAGAACAAACAGAAAAGTAAGTATGTCTTTATTTTGTGTATGAGTGGATGTCCTTAGTGAAGGATTCTGAGCTGGAGTAAGACAAATCTGCCTCAACTAAGTTTACTTACTATCACCTCGTGGCGGCCCTGTTGGACTTGGGATGTCTCTTCCTCTCAGTCAGGAGGAATGCGTGGTTTTCTGTTTTCTACACAAACTACTCCTTTCCATCAAGATTTTGATCTCTTTCAAATTAAATGCAAGGCAATATCTTCATGGATCTGTCGAAATAATTTCATAAGGCAAGCTCATGTTTTCTTACTGAGATGGAGATGTGGCGTATCTGCAAAGCTGAGCTGCTCGTTCCAAAAATTCTGCCAAAGAAGGTTACAGATACTCATCTGTGGTTTGGTTTTAGAAACTTCCATCTTCAGATGAGCCTAAATACAGCAGTTTAAACCGTCACGAGTATGTGGAACTTACAGAATACGAGTCATATTTGAAACAAATAAAAAAAAGAAAGGTGGAGAAGTGACCTGCGAGAAGTCAGAGTCTTACTTTTAAATCCTTCTTCTAAATCTTTCTTTACTGGTGTATTTATTGCTGACTGACCAGATTTCTTAAGCAGCATAATGTCTTCTGAACAGCTCCAGGAATTGGAGAAGGGAGCAGTACCAGTGAGACTCCGCAGCCTCCGAGGAAGAAGAGGGCTCGAGTAGATCCGACGGTTGAAAGTGTACGTGTTCCTGATGCTCTCACAGGATTTTTGATAGAAAACGGGATTCGCAGAAGGAAGGTTGCTTTGTCCTGCAGTGTGAAGTGTCACAACTTGCAAAACTGAGGTTCCCGAGTGCTCTGGAGAAATCTAAGCTATTTCCTTGTTCCCTGGGTAACCTACGGGGTTTGCTGTAGGCGTTCCTCAGTCTGGTGGTGGTTTTCAGTTGGGAAAGCGAGGAATATGGGTGACTCTTAGCTTTTGGATGGTTGTCTGAAGGGAGTTAGTCTAGTTTTGTGTTTTTCAGGAAGAAACATTTATGAACAGAGTTGAAGTAAAGGTGAAAATCCCAGAAGAGCTGAAACCGTGGCTGGTAGACGACTGGGACTTGATCACCAGGCAGAAGCAGGTAATCTGTCAGGAGCGCAGTCTGGCCACGTGTGGGTGAGGATGCTAAAACTAGATGCTCGTATCCTTTTCAAGAGCAGTGTGGTGAAACCTCATGGGGAGTTTGACAGCAGCCTCAGGCTCACTTGGCAGTTCTCGTTCTGGCTGGATTTTAACCAGAGGTGCCCTGTGCCGGACCGTGGCTCGGCAGCTTTGCGTCTAAACTCGTACTTTAGACTTGATCTAATCAAGCATAAGCTAGGAAGGTGAATTGTTTTAAAAACTTACTTAGGCTTTAAGTGTGGCGTTAGCTCTATGCATGCTTGGCCTGCTGGTGTGTTCTGAAGGGTTTAGTTAGTTGGTAGAGAGCTGGCCTGCAGGAACATCACGTGTGCTGCCTGTTCTACCTCAGCTCCTTCCTGCCTTGTTTATGAGTCCCTCACTGCCAAGTTCCACAAGTATCTTAAGCTGTTCTGCAGCCCTGACAGAAAGCTGTCACTAGGGTAACAAGTCTGTGCTCCTGCCAGGCTGGATCCACATAAAGCTTCCTAATACACTAAATTAAACTTGGAAACTAATTTAAATTTTAAGTGTCAAACACTTCCATGAACTTAAAACGTATTAATGAATTGGGACCTGTTTCGTTGCCCTGTAGGAGCACTGTGGGCGCTTTGCTTGCAGCCTTTGACTCCTGGGCTGACTTCAGCAGCTCATCATCAGGGTGCTGCTGAGCAGCACAAGTGTTAAATGGAAAAATATAGTTGCTCTTGCAGTTGGTTTTCTTTGGTGTGCACGGCTAAAGCTGTTGGGTGTTCCTTTAGTAACACTCTTTAACTGGTAATCTTAGTCTGGAAATGCCTTTATGTACATTGAATTCAATTTAGCAGGCATACATAAAAGCATAAATTAGACAGTTTGTATTTGGTTTTGCTTCTTGTGTAGCTCTTCTACCTTCCTGCCAAGAAGAATGTTGACTCCATTTTAGAGGATTATGCAAACTACAAAAAATCCCGAGGAAATACTGATAACAAGTGAGTAGTGGTCAGTTCAGACCTCGAATCCTTCTTCTGCCATTGTTGCTGGACTTGTATTTTGTGGGAAATTTAGTAAGGTGGTTAAACTTGTCCCAGCCCCAAGTCCGGCTTCGTGTTCTAAGACCAAGGTGAGAAGTTCAGAAATCACTGAGGAGGTGATTGAAATGCAGTGCTGCCCTCGGGGGTCACCTCTGCTTGCCCCGCTCTCCCTCAGCCTTTCCCTAAAGGAGCCGGTATGAGCCGAGGGAACAGTTCTCCAGCCCTTTGCTCGTGCTTGGGCTTCCTACGTTGGGTGAATAAATCCAGTGGCACAGGCTGAGCAAACTGTCGGAAAACCCCCGTGTAGCCGATGAGCAAAGCATTCCTGTCGCGGCGGCAGAGGGGTGATGGGGCAGGGACGCAGATGATGACTTTTAAGAGAATCAGATGGGCAAACTAATTACTCGGAGGTGATAGCTTTGAAGATTCTTAATTACCCCAGCAGTCTAGCCCTGAGAACAAACGAGGTGTGTTTATCCTTGAATGAAGCTTTCCTGTTTTAAATGGAGAGAGACTAGAAATGTGAAGTTATTTTCTTCCACTCCAGAGGAAGCCTGTTATCAACTTGTCAGGGTGTTTTAACATTCCTGCAGGTAATTGTCCTAATGTCTGTTCTAAACTTGCTTGCCGGGTGGAGCGAGGGTTGCGCTGCTCGGATGTGCAGTGTCACTGCTAATCCCCGTACAGTTACTCTTCGATTAGTTGTGAAGGCGGAGGCCTGCAGGAATCTGGTTAGAAAGGGTCGGTCACCCGAAATGCCACGTGGCTCTCCCTTGCCTTAAGCTGGAGTTCAGTCTGGTGACTTTTAAGTCGTTCTGTGCTTTTGAACTGGGGTGAGTTGGGATTAACTTGGGCTGAAAACAGAAGAGCTGGGAAATATTTACTGTTACGCTAGCTCGCTGAGTAGGTGGCTGAAAGCAAGGCTTTTCTCAGTTTACCCCAATTCTCACAGAGTTCAGAGCAGTTCCTTTTCAAAGGAGGGCTTGAAATGCATCGCTCCCCGTGGCTGTATGGGTTAAGGTCTCCAGGCAAATTGCCTTGAAAAATCTGAAGGTTTGTAAAAGATCTTTAAGGTTTTGATGGACTCGCTGCGACAACTCTCTTCTTGTGTCCATCGCGTCGCTGGAGCGAGACTTGCAATGTTTTCTCGTTACCAGGGAGTACGCAGTCAATGAGGTCGTGGCTGGAATTAAAGAATACTTCAATGTCATGCTGGGAACTCAGCTACTGTACAAGTTTGAGAGGCCCCAATATGCTGAGATTTTAGCAGATCACCCGGATGCTCCCATGTCTCAAGTGTACGGTGCCCCACACCTGCTGAGGTTATTTGGTGAGTAGGACCTCTGGAGAGGGGGGAGGAGCAGCTACAAGTGTTCAAACTCTTCCTTGTCCTGGCTTGAGTCTCCATGGGTGTGAACCGCAGAAGTCTGACAAGCGGCTGTGAAATGTTCTTTCATTTTTACTTGCTCCCTGTATCTAAAATGTTCAGAGTCATTTGGGCATTTGGAATGGAAATGGATTTCCAGCAGTCTAGTGAACTGTATGTGTGGGGATTGGTTCCTGGGCTCATTTTACACGCTAGCTCTAAGGTTCTAGACTGTACTTAAATACTCACGAAAGCTGTTTGTAGCTAACAAGTGCCGTTTCTTTCGTAACAGTGCGCATTGGAGCTATGCTTGCTTACACTCCTCTGGATGAGAAGAGCCTGGCTTTGCTGCTGAACTATTTGCATGACTTCTTGAAGTAAGTACTTAGAAGTCTTTCAGCAAGGAAGTTCAGTAAGCAGAGGTGATCTGTAGTGTGATCTGCCTCCAGTGAACAATTGTCACTTTACATACACATATAAATATTCAGAATAAAGGCTTCAACATTTATTTGTAGTTGCTATAAAAAGCGGATGACAGTTACAGTGAACTATTAAATTACACAACAGTTGCTCAACAACAATTGAGCAAATGTTAAAAGCTGATGAACCTTAGTAATGCTACTTCTGGGACAAACTGTCGTCTTAGTTTTAGTGCCCTGCGGTACCCTGTGGCGCTGTAGACATTAACATTTGGGATAAAAACGTCTTCAAAGAATAATACAAGACTTTGATTTTAATGTGAAAAATTTCTGGGGGAAAAAAAAAAGGCATTTGATTTTAGACAGGTGACAAAATGCTACCTCACTGCTGTAAGCAACTGAGTCACTCGCTTCTTAGTTCACCTGTAAATGTTTCCTGAATGTGAGATTCGAAAACGGGATGAAATTTTGGTTCAGCGTCTGAGGTGTCACACCTGTGTCCCCCCACATGTACGTGTCTGCTTGGTCAGCTTTCACTGAAGTAGTAAACTTTGCCTTGTGATTATGTCACGGAGAGAAGAACTGTTCTGTCTACAAGGCTTTGGAGATCTACTGGTAGTATTTGGAAATACTGATTTGTAAGTGATTCGGATAACAAAGCGTAAAGCTGCTCTGCCAGTAAATTCCAGTTGTTACCTCTGTGTGCCTGGCTGCGCTTTGGAAGCAGATCCCGGCGGGCTCTGCAGCAGAGCTGGCGATGGATCAGCCCCGTTGCCAGGGTGAATAGTCCTGGAGTCCTGAGTTAGCTCACAGGCTTTTGGGTCAGTCTGAAGTAAACGCAAGAGCTTTGGGCTGTGAAGGGAGAAAGGAGAAGCAAATGCCCAGAAATCCCCGGATCAGTGAACGGTGACGGCCTGCAGTGCTTGTCTTCTGCTCTCGGGCTTTGTTGCCCGCTGCCCGCTTTGCTCTGGCCGTCATCCCTCTGGCCAGGTAAGTCCTGCGTTTGTGCAGACAGAACCTCGCCGTGTCCCACTCCCCGTCCTTACCCCTTCGAGTACGATCAGTAGTAAATTGGTTCTTGGTAGAGCAGCTGAACGAACTTCAAATGTCAACTGCTTCATCCTGTTAATATTGACCTCCTTGTGCTCATGTGCTCACCTGGAGCCAGAGTTGCTAGCACAACCTGTCTGGAACTTATTTATTTATCTATCTGGTTTTTCTCATGAGCTGTCAAATCTCAAATTGCTTTATACAGCTGCTCTTCCAGTTGATACACATTGGTTTCCTGCTCTTGAAATCCTGTTTTATGGCCTCAGCAAATGTGTAACGATTTAATCGCGTGAACAGCAGAGCCTTTGGGCAAGAAGGCCGTTTAATCATTCCATGATTTTCTGCAGGTATTTAGCAAAGAATTCCTCCGCCCTGTTCAGTGCCAGCGACTATGAAGTAGCCCCTCCCGAGTATCATCGGAAAGCGGTATAACCCCGTGCTGCTCGGATCCCGGTAACGCTGCCCACTTCTCCGTCTTCTTCACCTTCCTCTCGCACGTGTCTCTCTTGCACAGATTCTGTAAACACCGAGTGAATAAAGGTGTGTTTTAAAAAAGGAACTGGCAGCTCTGACTTGGGAAGATTTCTTGTCTCGCGGTGGAAGCTTGGAGTTTCACGGGAACTCTCTTTGTTGGTGTTTCTGGCTTGCTACAGTTGTTTGCATCGATGGAATGTAAAAAGAATGCATTGTGGTATTTCATTGTCTGAACTCCTCCGTGCTCGTGGGCCTGGTGTGACATTAAGATTTGCTTCACTAACCTGCTTCACCGCAGACTCGGACCCGTGCGGGTTGTGATCACGTAGTGCTGGTGCTATTGACTAGTCTGGCTTTCAATCCCGTTGACTTTTTTGGTGTTGAAAGCAAAATGTTTGGTCCATAAATGTGTGCTTTTATTTAGATGGTTGAAGGACTGTGACTTTTTTTTATATTCTCACAATAGGGAGGTGCATTACTGTATCGTAGTGTCTTGGAAATGTTGATCTTTCACAGAGCTGTTTTACAGATCTTCAAATAAACTTTTTTTTAATTTCACATCTGGTTTCTAATATTTGTATTTGCATCAGTCACGACCTTATGACAGTGTCAAGTATGATCTCAGTGTATTGAGTGTAGTATAAAGTTCTGCAAAGTTAACTTGGAGCTGTTGTGTTTCTTTTTAATTATAAGGACTGGTTAGTTAAAGCCCACGGGTCCACCTCCGGTGGGGGAAGTGGTTCCTCTTTCTCTCTGATATTTTTCATACTCTGTAAGTCGTGATCATGCAGTTTCACTGCATTTGTTGCAGGATTCCTAAAAGGCCTGTTCCTCAAAGCCTGGATGCTGAGAGCACACTTCGCCTGGCTTCTGTCGGTCACTTGCCTATTCTAATTCAGTTCTATATGCGTGGTAGCATCTGAAGTGCTAAACCGGAGGTTGCTGGGAATGGCCCCGCTCTGGTTTCCGGTTTTAGCAGCTTGCTGGAAGCTGTTGTAACTCCTCCTGCTCCTCATTCTTGTCTCGATACCATTGCGAGAGCCTTGGGCAAAAGCCGAAGTAGGTGGTCAAGAACCAGGTGTGAGAGAAATGTGAGCTCCTGCTGCCAGGAGGAGGGTCTGACACTGCGAGGCGCCTTGTGTGTCTTGTTTTCGTGGGCAGATTGATGCTGCGCTTGGCTTTGACCTCTTGGTATCAGGCACGTAAAACTTACCTCTCTTCTTGATGTTGCAAGTTCCCTGCCAGCTCACAGCTTTTCCTGGGAAGGTCGCTGCTGGAGCTGGCTCTGAGCTGCACACTGCGCGGCTGACGCTGTTGTGTAACTCTCCTGTCTAGCGCTTGTTTCTTTTCCTTGCTTCCCTGAGTATTTCCCAAGCAGCTCGTCTGCACTCGGGCATCGTGAAGTCACAAACTCGCTATTCTGGCCCTCACGTAAATTCTGTCTGGGAGCCGCCTCCCGTTTAGGTCGTCTGTCCGGGTCTCTCTCTGCCCTTAGGCCTGTTCAGAAACTCTTCGGTAAAGCTCCTTGTGGCCAATTTTATTATAAACTCCCTCCTGTTTGTAAATTGTGTGCCTACACACTTCAGTACTTGGCAGCTACTTCCCCAGCCCAGCTTCTCGCCTTGATTCTGTGTCTGTGGGACAGGATCTAGAGCTCCCCTTGAAGTGGTTTCAGCTGTGGACACCAAAGTGTTCAGCTCCCTCTGGGGTGCATCCTGCACCCCTCTGGCCGGGAGAGCAGCGCTGTGGGGAGGGATGAGTGAGATTTTTTGGCCGCATCTGTTAAAAGCAGTGTCAAATGACTTGGCTACAGTTTATAGGCAGAATACCAGGTTTGCATCGCAGATGTTACTGCAGGAAACCCCGGGATCTGGAAAGTGCTCTGCCCGAGGGGAACGTGCCCTTCCCAGAGGAGATTTTTGGCCGCATCTGTTAAAAGCAGTGTTGAGTGACTTGGCTACAGTCCAAGGAGGTGCTGTTTATAGGCAGAATACCAGGTTTGCATCACAGATGTTACTGCAGGAAACCCCGGGATCTGGAAAGTGCTCTGCCCGAGGGGAACGTGCCCTTCCCAGAGCAGCTACTTGTGTGTAAAGATGGGAACGGGCTACCTGGGGCCCAGGGAAGCTGTAAGCAGGGTCAAATTCTTGGTGGCTGCCTCCTGGGGTGGGTGCCTGGCCAAGAGTCGGGCTGGGTTCTGTCCCACCCTCTTCCGCCTGCCCTTCTGTACCGAAGCACAAAAGCTCACGAGGCTGATTCTGTTCTGGATAGGGTGGTGCTGGCTGAGGGCTGGTCGACTGGAGCACAGACGATAAGGAGCTGTTCAAAGGAGCACAGGGGTCTCTTGTCCCACAGAAAAGAACAATACTGGGCAATGATGTGAGTGAAGTTGCCATGGAAACAGAGGCAGGGCTGGGAAACAGCTGCAGGGTTTCTGAGGTGGGTTCTTCCCGAGGAATCTCCGCAGAAAGTATCAGAGGGGACTGTGGGTCCCCTCGCCCGGCTCCGGGCAGTGGGAGGAGAAGCCCTGGAGCTGCGTGGGAAGCACAGGTGGGTCCCCTGGCCTGTTGCAATCCCTGTGCGCTGCTCTCGGGATTTGATGAGCAGCTTCATGAGGCTCATTAGCTGCTGCTCTTTATTTATCGTGGCCCTTGCCCAGACAAAGAGCCAAGACTGTCTTCTTAGACCAAACAATGGGTTTATTCTTTGCCAAACTGCCCCAGAGTGAAACCAACCTTCTGCTGTCGGCACACTCGTGCTTGTAGAACAGCTTTTCTTCCTGAGACTTGCGCGGATCTTCTGGTGGTTCCTGGGGCAGCTCCCTGAGGGCCTGCTGGCAGCAGGACAGCAGGTGTGAGCCTGGGAGAGGGAGCTGGGTCACAGGAGTTTCCCCCACACATGGAGGGAACCTGCTGCACTTTCCTCTTCTGCTGCTTCTGTGCTGAACTCATGAGAAATTACCTGCTCTTTTTTGCCTAGCACGCGGAGTCGCTGTGCGGGGCAGCAGGGTGGGCTGAGGCTTTAGGAGCCCTGGCCCATGGCCCCAGCCCAAACCGGGGGCCCTGGAAGGGACAATTCTGGAAGCGGGGCACCGTGAGCCCCGTGCCGAGCGCATGAGGAGGAGCCCCAGCCCTCCCTCCTGGCACACAGAACAGAGGGACTGAGCCTGGGGGAGCTTCACCGAGTTCCCTCCTGCAGAAAGTGCTTTTACACATAGAAAATGAGCCCATTTAAAGGTTGTTGATGAGTGGTGATTATGAACTCTGCCTCTCGGGGTGACCCCAGCTCTGTGGTGGGAAGGCGGTGCCACGCACCGGGTGGCGTTTCGGCCCCGTATCCTGCCCTCTGCATTGTTTTGCTTTTTTCCGTCCTTTGCTCCGATCTGAGGGTGATTTCCTGCGCCGTGGGGTGCGGAGGGCTGGGTGCATCCTCGCCTCGTTTTCCTGCTGCCATTTAGAGCCCGCCCGGCACAGCAGCGTGCGTCTCAGGCGAGATCCTGATGCTCCTCCATCCTCGCGGTGAGTCCCGCTCTGTGAGCTCCGCTGTTGGTCCGAGGAGAGGAGGAGGCAGCCGAGTGCTCCCCACGCTCAGCCATGGCATCCTCACAGGTGAGCGCTTCCCTGCTGTCCTCTCTGGCCGTGCCCTGTGCTTTGGGATGTGCTGGGGCAGCTCATGCCCTCCCCTGGGGGTACTGTGCCAGCAGGCGGGGGTTCGGC